AGTGGACTAATAGATCAGCCGACCGAGCCAGCAAGCCAATCGGAGACATGTGTAACAGTTTCGCTCACTGGACTAGGATTGACCGATATTTGTGTGAGTTATTCAATTTTTGTTTAACTGAACCAATGAAGGAACCTCATCGACAAAGAAGGGTCGTAATTGTGGATGTGAAAGTGCAAATTATAACTATAAGTTTGGCTTGCTAAACAGGTTTTGATTTTTCTGTGTTGATTTTTCCAAATAAGCCCTTTTTCCGGATGCACAGTGTTCTGCACTCTGGCCTCAGGGGGTTGCGTTGAACCCACGCTCTTTCGGACTGGGAATTTTCAGCGGGCGCTATCGAAGACTGCGCGGTGATCTCATATTAGCGTATCAAATATTGAGTGACCCCAACCACGTATGCCGCCATTTGCTGAAACTTAGCCACAACACGCAGCTCAGGGGTAACTGCTTAAAGTTGAAGGAACAATATAGCCGTCTAGAGTGTCGACGGAATTACTTTTCCCTTCGGGTTTGCAAACCTTGGAACGCACTCCCAGACTCAGTTGTATCCTCTCCTACCTTGGATATTTTCAAAAAACGATTAGATGTTGCTCTTAGCTTCCAACATTTTGTTACCTAAACTCCCCTACTGTGGATTAGGCCAAGGATGCATTACAACAAGATTTATGTATCAAACGTATCTAAGTGAGCGACCATATTTTACTTTGCTCACTCTTTACCTCAATGATCACTGCACCCCAGTGTCTTTCTGAACGTTTACGCTAGATAATTTATTTTAATTTTACACTGATGTTACTTATCAAACTATTCATCTCGGCAGACGTTCGGTAGATGACCCAGACATATTTTGATTTCATCATATTCACCTCAACTATCCTACGGGACGTGTCAAGCACTTGTTTTTATCCCGTGATAAATCATTGTTCATTATTCATTTAAAGTTTGTAAAGTCCAAACCAACGAGACCTACCAAAGCTATGAGTTTTAGCGAAGTAGAGGCCGAATGAATCTATCGACAGGTACATCAATGAGTTAAAGATTCTGGCACGATTCTGCAATTTCTGTAAATGTATGAGGTGTCGCCTCGTACGCGATCAGGTCATTCTAGCAATCAAAGATGAAACATACGACAAGGCGGCTTTTGCGACAACGCAACTTATCGTGGCAGCATAGATATCTGTAGCAGTGAGTCGTCGACCGCCTCTAAACACCAATAAATGTGGCTTGCGATTGACACAGAATTGTGTGCCGTTTTTAGAGGCAAAACGACGGGAGCTACACACATAAGACAGGAGGTCTGAAAATTTTGCGCTGCGCCTCAACCGAGCATCCGTGAATTGTGTCTAGCATGGGGACGGAAATTCGACAAATGTGGAAAAGGGAACCACTTCTCCTGCGAATTCCAAACAACTAAAGTCAGCGTACTCTTTCGTAACAATTAGCCCCCGGACGCAGAATATTTAATTGGTAACGTAATTTGGATATATTACAAAGATGTGTCTACGCAAGCCTTTTGATCTTAGACAAAGCCGCATCATTCCAGTTAGACACGGGTGCCACTATAGAAATTCTGTCAAGGAAGCATCGCCCCGGGGTGTACATCCGATCCGAACGATATTGCCTAGGGATATGGAATGGTTCCATATTTAAGCCGAAGGGCACAGCTACAATCGAAATGGTTAACCCAAGGGACGGAGCCACGTGTCGACTGGAATTTGTGATTGTGCAGGTGAAGGTCATGCCGATCCTCGACATTGATTCCATCCAGTCTCTCGGTATTGCTGTTTTTAAACCTGATCGTTTCTTGCATGTTTTCCTAGGAGAAACCGATATTAGTGATCAGTATCCGTGTGTGTTTAGCCCAGGTTTGGAAAAAGTGGAGGGGACCAGTCGCTTATCGCGAGATCCTTTGGTACGGCCGATTGTTCTAGCAGCAAGGGAAGTTCTATGTGCGTTGTGTGACAGGCTCTCTGCTGCGTTGAGCAAATTAAGGTGAATGGGTGTGGTGTGCATATTTGACGAGCCAACCGACTGCGGTAGTCAGGTAGTTATCATTACGAAGAAGATTGGCAAACTACGCGCGTGTGTGGACCCGAAAGCATTGAATAAGGCCCTGCGTAGACAGTGTTATGCGTTACCTACTCTAAAAGACAATTTTCTGCGTTTGCCAAAGCCAAGTATTTCACAAAGTAGGCATGTTTTCCGTAGTTTCGCACCTTATTCGAAATAAAGTATGTAGTATTCTTACTACAAATGACACATTGTTCGAGCGTTATCGATGGCTGCGTTTACGGTTTGGTATAAAGGTTTCGAATAACAGTCTTCAAGAGCGATTAGTGCAGACGGTAAACAAGGTAGATGATGTAAAATGTGTGGCAGACAATGTTTTGATCTATGGCTCGACAAAAAACAGCATAAAGCTAACCACTGTTTCTTCCAGCGTTGTGTGCAAAAGAACCGAAAAAATAAACGTAAGAAAATTGAATTTCGGAAATACAAGGTGATTATCTGTGGATATTTTCTGACAGTCCAAGGGTCACGGTCGATCCAGAAAATATTCAGACAATTCGAGAAATGCCGCTACCTGAGGACGGGAGAAGAATCCATAGCGTAAGTGACACGGTAAAGTATTTGAGCTGTTTTAGGTTTAGACTCCCTGATATCATGACGTGGTTTAGAAAGCTATCTCACAAACAAGTAAATTTGCTTTGCGGAGAGGGACGGAAAACGGCGTTTGTAACTATCAAGTACCTTATCAGCAACATGTCTGTACTCTGGTATTAAGATCCGGCGCAGCCGTCGGAGGTATAGTGTGACAGTAAACACGATAGAACAGGTGCTGTTCTCATACAGAAACGCAACTCCTTGGATTTCCGCGTTCGAACACTCAACATGAACGAGCAGCGCTATGCGCAGATTGAGAAAGAGGTGCTTGTGGTTGTCTATACCATGGAGGGTTTCAGTCATTATACTCTCGGAAGAACGATAATTGTGGATACCGACCATAAACCGCTTGTGTCGATAACCAGTAAACGGTTGCATATCATCGCCTTCATCGTATGCTTATTCGGCTTCAAAATTACGGCTCGGATATTGTGTACACACCTGGTGTATAGATGTTCATCGCGGATAGGCTGTCCACAGATTATTTACCGATAGCTGAGCCTAATTCGGTAGAGGTCGAAGCACTAAACCTAAAACAACATATGGCATTGACGCAAGGTAGCCTAAAAGAAATAAGGCGCCATGCAGAAGAAGATGCAAAGTTTTCAACTTTAAGAAACCTCATTTTGAATGAGTGACCAGAGTTAAAGAAGAAGCTGGTGAAGGAATTAACACCTACTTTAGTTACCTGTATAAACACTGTCTATGGTAGTTTGATGTAACGAGGTCCGTTCTGCGTCGCTCTCAATTTGTTCAAGGTTTCAACGGTGTTTACTGTCCCTAGAGTTTACTATACCACGATATTCACTTATTTTTTATCGTCAAACTTCCATTTTTTCCCATTAGCTTTTCTTTTCTATCATCATTTTCTTTGGACATGGTCTACGGACGTCGTCTCAACGTCACAAAGAAGGGTGGGAGACCCGTACGGCATACACCAGCCAAAGCTAAAACTATCATCTGGTACAACTATACCATGTACCTTTTACCTAACGGGCATGTTTTCTCTGAGCTCCCAAATGGCCGAGCTTCGAACTAACGTATTGAAGATCTTCAACACATTAGAACCACTTACTGATAGACTGGAAGCCATAGCGACTAGATTCATCCCGTGGAGGTTATGAAGGTTAAGCATGCGGAGATGTCTGGAAGGTTCCTCAACACGATTTGCACCTAAGTGATGAATGGGTTAACAAGTCTTACTGTGGTAGCAGTGTATAATGTTCCAGGCCAGCTGAAATTGCACACCAGTAGCAAAATACTGATGAAAGTATGTGGCTTCGAACACAACCTTCTGAGTTGCACAAGGCTGAGAAAAAATGTTAGGAAAATCCAGTGACCCCTTTTAGTGCAGTTTGATAGTGAGAAATCGGCCCTCAAGTTTCTCTCTTATCAAAGAGAATTTAGAACCAGTACGACGTTTGTTAACTTAAAGTTAGTCCCAGCCACACCGGCTTTGCAACGTTGTTCCGATAGACTATAAGAGAGCTCCGCACGGACTAGATGTGTTCAAGGGAGCTGTGACAACTGTCCGGTGCCTGTGAACCTAAGTGACTCCCCTACTGTGGATCTAGGGATCTTGCCTTAATGGATACTTTATTGCTTGATTCCTTGGAAAATTTTGCAACCGCTGGGATCAGTAGTATCCGTTAGGCCACAATAAACATGGATCAAAGCAGCCTACCTGAGAACACCGCAGGAAACGTATCAGTTAATACTACCTGCTCAGGTGGTGATACAACTCGACCCGCTATACCGGAAGGGACAAGTGTTGACGAAATTCTCCCAAAACCTTTAAATAACTCTGCTAGCATAGACATAGTAGGAAACTTATACG